AATGAAGCTGAGGTTCTTCCCACTTTGTCCAATCTCAGAGGAAGAAGAATCCCTGTCTTCTTCCCAAATCTCAATTGTAATTTTGAATGCAATCATTGCTGCCTCCTTCCAGACAACCACTGTTGCCTCTACTATCATTCACCCCTACTGGCTCCTTTCCCAGAGTCAATATACACATTTTTTTTAATCATTTTTTTTTAAATCATTTTTCCCCCCCAAGACAGAGTCTTGCTCTGTCAAAGGCTGGAATGCAGTGGCGCGATCTTGGCTCACTGCAACCTCTGCCTTCTGGGTTCAAGTGATTCTCGTGCCTCAGCTACCCGAGTAGCTGGGATTACAGGCATACACAACCATGCCTGGTTAGTTTTTGCATTTTTAGTAGAGACGGGTTTCACCATGTTGGCCAGGCTGGTCTCGAACTCCTGGTCTCAAGTGATCCACACGCCTCAGCCTCCCAAAGTGCTAGGATTACAGGCACGAGTCACTGCACCTGGCCCAATACACATGTTTAAATCTCCCCTACTTATAAAACAAAATCTAAGCAACTCTTCCTTCAAATCTGATCCCACTCCTCAAGATAACATCCTTGTTCTCCCTTCAACACACACCTTAGAAGAGAAACATAGAATAGTACACTTATTTTATTCTTTACTTTATTTTTAATGTAATATTTGATACACATAAAAGTTTTTATGTGTCAGGAAAATTGTGAAAAACTTTGAGATTGGGGGAAAAAAAAAAGATTCCTGGGTATCTTGTCTCCAGTACATCCGTTTGGTTCTTCTGAGTTATTTCACAACTCTGCACAGCTGTTGAAAACTGGTAATAAAAATTATTGTTCATAAACATGCCAAAGAATTATGTCCAGTGGGATCTAATGAATGTTGACTTATGTTGACCAATTTTGCAACTATTTGTAAATTTACTTCAGCATTCCTGATTGCATATGAGTGTTACTTTGAATTCACCCTTGACATATTTTTGATTCCCTTATAAATTTAATAATTTAAATGAAAATTCTGACACATATTCATTTCATATTTGTGTGAGAATCGTGATTTCACAAAAATTATTGCTGGGAACGGTGGCTCACGCCTGTAATCTCAGCACTTCAGGAGGCTAGGTGGGCGGACTGCTTGAGCCCAAGAATTTAAGACCAGTCTGGGCAACACGGTGAGATCCCGCTCCTAAGAAAAAATTATCAACATATGTGACACCTGTTGTTATCAAACAATATAATAAACACTTGTGAAAGACCAGTCAACTTATGACTACAACATCCCTAAGGAGAACTAAAAGATTCCTCGAAGAAATGGCATGGAGATGTTGGCATAGGTACATCAATAACAGCAATAAAAGATATATAAAAGTAGCACAGAAAAGCTTAAAGAGGAGTTTCATAAAAATTCTGTGCAAAAAAAAGTCATTCCTTGCTGATGGGATCAGAGAAAGCTTCAAGGAAGAAGTGGGATTTGAGCGGGGTACTAATGTGCCAGTTCTTGCCATTCTTCCATCCTATCATTAAACTCAGATGACAACTCACCTGTACTAGACTGTGCTGTCCAATATAACCACTTGCCACATGTAATTACTGTTTCGTGTGTGTATTCTGAATTGAGATGTATTTGAATATAAAACAGACAAGATTTTGAAGAGTTAATATGAAAAATTAATGTAAAATATCCATTAACTTTATTGGTTACATGTTAATATTTTCATATGTTGGGGTAAATACTACTTTAAAAAAGAACTACGACTTCATCAATACTGTTGTATCTATCTGTATGTTCCTTCTCTACTGCATCTCCTTGCTTCCTGTCCAGAAGTAATCACTACCCTGAACCTCATTTTTTCCCCAGACATCTGTCTGTATTCCTTCTTTTGCCTATTTTTGAGCTTTAAAAATCATATTTTAATGTATATGTGGATTAAATAATAGTATTTGTAATGTCAGAAAAGTGCCTAGTACGGGAGCCTAAGGCAGAAGAATGGTGTGAACCTGGGAGGCAGAGCTTATAGTGAGCCGAGATCGTGCCACTGCACTCCAGCCTGGGTGACAGGGCGAGATTCCATCTCAAAAAAAAAAAAGAAAAGTGTCTAGTACATACTAAGTCACTTATAAGCATTTATTAAATAAAATTTAAAAATATGCATTTATTTATACTTATAAGCATTTATTAAATAAAATTTAAAAATATGGTCTTCTGTGGTTGCTTTGTCTATTTTGTTTCTAAGACTTATCCAAGCTGTTAAATGCCGCTGTAATTCCTTATAATGAGAACAAGCTAATGTGTGACTATTTTACAATTAACTCATTCATTTTATTTGATAGACTTTTGAATTACTCCCATCCCACCTCCAACCATGTTGCTACAGACATTCTTATACACATTTCCCAGCACACATGTACAAAATTTCTTCAGGATATATAGACACGCCTAGGAGCAAAACTGCCAAATGCTAAAGTATATTAATATTCAACTTTACAAGATGGTGTCACATTATTTTTCAAAGCTATATCAATTCACACTCCCACTGATGGTATATAAGCTTCTGCTGACCCACATTTGTGCTAACAATTGGTATTATCAATCTCAATTTTGTCAATCTTCTGTATAAAATGGTATCTCTCTGTGTCTTAATTTTTATTTCCTTGATTAGTAATCCGTTTAAACATTTATATTTCTATGTAATAAATGTTTCTGTCCATTTTTTCTTTTGGGTTGTCTTTTTCTTATGGATTTCTAATTTCTTGATGTTTTGTGGACACTAATTTGTCAGTTAAATTTTATCCAGTCACCCTTCAACACACTAAATAATCTGAAATCTGTATCTATCACCTATTTTGGCAATGGCATTAACAACTTTCTCATTCTAAGTCTTAAAACAGCTCTCTTGGTCTCCCCTCCTTATGTAATCTCTCTGCAGTATTGTAACCATTCTCTTCTAGTTCCCAGGTTTTCCCCACCTTGAACTTTCCTATCTTTCCTCTAAGCCCTCACCATTCTTCTTTTTCCTCATGTTTCTTGAAAGCTGGTTTCCTGGAAATTGGTATCATGGTCTGTCATTAATCTTCCTTTACATTCTACATGTACTTTCTCTAGTATCTTAGTTCCATAGCTTTAGCTACTACCTAATTGCTGATGACTTTTGAATCTCTCTATATAACTGAGATCCTGACTTTCATTTCCAATTTAACATATCTAGCCATAATTTGTCCCTAAATACCTGTCATTCCAATTTCCTACCCTGGTTAGTGATATTACTAAGTGCTGAAGTTAGAAAGCTCCAAACTGCTGAAATTTAAAAGCTCAGGAAGAATTTACTATCTCTTATTTTTCCCAGATTTAAACCATTAGTGACTACAACATAATTACCGAATGCTCAAGAAATGATACATAATATAAATCAGAGGCCAGAAGCTGGCAGCACATCTGTCCCAATGTTTTTTAAAATCAGGAAGTATTACAGGAAAAATCTAAATGGCTCTTTTTTCCTGAATAATGGGAAGATCTGGCAACACTGTCTCATAATCCTTCATGGCCACAGGTACAGCTGAGAAGGTGCAGGCAGATCCCTTTAAATTAACCAAAAGGATGCCAACTTGCCATAAACTTCATTTCTCTCCAGTATCTTATTACTGATTTACTTCACTGATTTCTATTACCTGCTCCATTCTTCTTGTGAGCATTTGCCTTTCTAGGCCCTTGTGTTTGCAACCTCTGATATACCTATATATGGCACAGGAATTCAAAGAAATGACTCTGTGAAAGAGGTAGAAAATAAGCTCAGACTTTAAATAAACGATGTGGATCAACAGTGTGGCCTAACAGAAAGAGAAAAACAGCACAGGCTATAGCAATAAGGAAGGGACGTACAGAAAGCCCAAAAGTTTTATCTAAAAGCAGCTTACAGCAACTAGGTAATCAATGACAGACAGTGTGGCATAATGCTTTGGCATTAGATTCAAATTCCAGTTCCACTACTTAGTACTTAAGTGCTAAGTTAAGTTACTTAAGCCTAAATTTGTGTTTCTTCAGCTACTGAGTTACTTAACATTTCTTCAATTAATGAAATACAATAGTATAGTTGTACTCAACACTTACTAATTTCTTCCAACACCCTATTTTCATAGCAGAAGAACCGTGCCAGAGGCAGGTAAAGTGATTTGTCTAAGTTCACATAGCTAGTGGAGAGTCAGAGCTTCCTTGTTTTTTACTTAGTTCAGGGTTATGTTTGTTTTTAAACCACACCACATCAATTAATAAGAATGACCTTATACAGAGAAGAGAGGTCATTTTGTAGAATAGGAGGATATGACATTATGTAACATCAGAATTTTAATATTTAAAAGTATTAAGTATCTGAAAGAATTTCACTCACGTTTGGTAATTATATATAAAAGCTGTTTCATCTTAAGATACATTACACAGTAAGACATAACATACTATAACAACATCAAGTTTCTTGTAAGTTTAAAACCTTCATTAGCAACTTAATAAGTAAAATGTTTACAAATTCTTCTAGGCTATAAAGAGTATTACATTACTTAGGTGGCTGCCTCCTGACAAAGTCTAGCTCTTGTTCTTTGTTAACAAAAACCAAACTCATCAGCCTGCAACTATTTCTAAGTGAAGTTGAGCACTATTTTTTTTCGGTATTCAACTTAAAAGATCTCTGGCCAGCAGACTAAAATGTTTGTTTTATAATTGCCCGCTGAACTATGATAGTTTGTTTCCAGATGGTGCCCTTCCTTCAACCTGCACACAATCTCTCCTTGTTTGAAACTATTCAACCTCCTGCTGATCCCACCCCCCTATTTAAGGCTACAAAGAGGAAATCCTAAGGAGGAGATTCCCGCCCCCAGTCTCCAGCAATTTTTGGTGATGTAATATGTGGGCTGAACTTGAGTCTACTGAGAAAGAGGGAATCACTATTCAGGGGTACTGTATATACAATCTGGGTCAGCTGCAGCTGGTTACTGCATTTCTCCATGTGGCAGACAGAGCAAAGCCACAACGCTTTCTCTGCTGGATTAAAGACGGCCCACAGACCCGAACTTCTACTATACTACTTAAAATTACACAGGTGGCTCGTCAAATTCAATTGATTAGTATTGTAAAAGGAAAAAGAAGTTCCTTCTTACAGCTTGGATTCAACGGTTCAAAACAAAAATGCAGCTGCCATTAAAGTCACAGATGAACAAACTTCTACACTGATTTTTAAAATCAAGAATAAGGGCAGCAAGTTTCTGGATTCACTGTATCAACAGATACAAAAAGGTATTTAATATTTCTTTCATTTATAAATATTATGTATAGTAAATGCATAACTATTTTATATTTGTAGTAGAAATTTCAGAATCTTTTACTAAACAAAGACCTTTAGAATATACTAGTTTATCTTATCTGAAAAAGGTTTTATCTTGCAACTTGACATAAAAACATTAAGTACTGTGCGATGGTTAATGCATTATTTGAGGTTCAATTTAATGATATTTAGTGTATATGATTACAGACTGATACATGCATCCCATGCTGGGTTTCTGAAAACAAGTGCTTTAGTGACAGTAGAAAGACATTTTAACAAGTAACAGATTAAATGTATAAGGTTTATAGCACAATGATTAAAAACAAAGGAATACAAACTAAATAGTCATGAACGCAATTAGTTTCTCTTCTTGCAGCTACAGTGTGTGTGCTGAAGACATACATGAACTGTTGGATTTCTCAGAGTGTAGTCATAAAACAAAGCTAAGATATAAAAATAGTTGAAAGTCTTTGCAACAAAATCTCAATTACAGTATAACCAAATATTAACCAGAAATTCTTGTACAGATTTAAGAGTAATCTATGGCATTTCTTGTTCCAACTCAAAATTTTAAATAGCTTTCCAGGCTTACATGTAACAGTAATTTAATTTGGATGACAGAAATTAACTTGCTACAAATGGAATTACGTGGAAAAGCGAAGTTATTGATATACACATAAAAGCATTATGTAAGTAGTCAGTATTAACAACAGAAAATAAGAACCCAGAAGATGTAATTAATTAAATACATGACTAAAAGGCTAGAAATATGTAATATTTTTAGATAGAAATAATTTTGTTAAGCACACATAAGAGGTTTCCTTCAATATTCTATCTGGGAGCTTTTTTTACATGCATTATAAAAACTATTAAAGATAAAATTACTCGTTACCAATAGTATGCCTTAAACCAAAGACACTTACGTTTGTTAGATCTGGGGCTCCTTTGGCCTTGTAAAAATTAAAGATATTAATGGTTAAGAATCTTGAACAAGCAAATAATGGTAAAGCTAAAATTTTTTCCAACTTTGCTTTCGTGTCCTTTCCTTAAAGATTTAAAACTGTAAATACTGGCAGGATTTCTGTTAAACACACATTTTACAAGAAATTCTAACAAAATTCCCAAGCAATAGTGGATCTGAAATACTGTCATCTCTCTTTTTTATTGTTACATGCTATGGAAAGTGCAGGACTTTATTAAGCCTCAGTTCTTACTGACACTGTCTTAAGGCAAGCATTTAATCTGAACCCCAAATCACACAGATAACTATTTATCCTTTTCTTAAATATATCCAGGCGATTAGATTGTTTTCAAGTCTCTTCCCAGAACATATTTCACAATCTAGAAATTCTTTATCTAACATATCCTGAATGCTTCATAAATTTAACTTCGTTGCCTCATGTTGTTTTCAGTGCATGACACAGCCAGTTAAATGCCTCTATGAGTTTACCATCTGAAAGGAGGCAAATCTTGACTTTCGTTTCTTGTCTCTACTAGCTGGCAATATAGCAACTATGAAGAGAAATGCTACTAATAAAATTAACCCAATGCATAGAAGACCTTTTTTTCTCTTTTAAAAATAACTAAGTAAAGACTTAGATTTAAACATAAGTATTCTATAACTAATTTATAACATTCTCTTGGGGCCTAGGAAAATTTTAACATATACAGCAAGTTTTATGAGGTAACACAGATTTATGGATCTTTCGCTTCAAAACAGAATATATGTGAGAAAATATTAAATAAGAGAATGTTTTTAGAAAACATAACAGTAAATGTATTTTTAAAACCAGTTCTTTACTCCTGACGTAGCTAGTCTACTACTTAAGAAATGTGGCTCCTTGCCCTGCTTTAAGTGACAGTGAAGCCAATATTTTTGTATTATTAAAAAAATTGTATTTATTTAAAAAATAAACTTTTAGTTGCCTCCTTTAAATGCTAATTTAGATCACTTTTTCTTGTGGTAAACAGTGATTTATCTTATGATTTAATCTTATAGGAACCACAATGAGCCAAGGCAGAATACACACAAGGAAGCTGCTTTTATTTTAATTTAGATTAGCATTTTGGTGTTTTTTGTTCTTCAATGACAATACTGATGCTAAGTCCTAACAGCAGTCTTGGATGATGAACTTTTAGCTGTTCTATAAAAATCTGTGTCTGGTATTAATACGAGCTGTTCAATCAGAATATTACTAATAAAATTCTATTTGTTTTAGAGTTTTATATTACTTCCTGCATTCTCCCTGCTTTGGTAGTTTATTTCATAGCAAATATTATTTAAGTAAAATAATTTTCTGATCTAAGAGTTTCCATTCTAGTATTAAAACGAACGGACTTTAGCAGTAGGTAAGTTAAATTAAATATATAGGAAAAATGATATACATGTGCCCAGGAGCATGACAGCTTTTGTTGTCTTGTCCCTAGTTTTTTAAATAACCCATATCTAAGTTCCACGAATCTGGAGATATAATAAATATTTTATCGGTTTTTGGTATAGGTAACATATATAGTAAAAGTCTATTTTTAAAAATAAAATAGATGACTGTTTCTGTCTGAATTTTCTATATACGTCAGAAAGCAAGTTATGAAAACATAAAAAGCTAAAAAAAAACCCACGTGTGCTTTGGCTATCAGTCAGCAAAAGAAGGCCTCGATAGAAATACAGATTGTTATGGCCTCCCTATCTTTTGTTTTCATTCCCTCTCTTGTTGGTAAAATAATAATAATTCTCCATACTCCATCCATATTTGCCTTATTTTCATTATCTACCCGTTTTGAAGACACTATTCAACTGAAAAATACCAAAAACAAAAGAACATGGTTTTAGAAAGTGAAAGTAGCAGTAGTCTTCATGACGATAGCAGAAGAGTCTATATTTCATTGACATGACCTTTGTTTTTGGGAGGGGTCCATAATCATAGGTTAGATATATAACTACCAGCTGACAAAGTACATATGGAGGGAAAGACACTGCAGCAGAAAAGTCTGAGATGTAAAAAATGATTTGGCAGAACTTGGACACAAATTCTACCAAAAATTATCCATAAACACTTTTGTATAATTAAGTAACCAGTCAATGAAAATGGATATAAACCAGGAAAAGGCTGTGAAAAACAAGAAACATAAACTTAAGACTCCTCTGTGGTTATGATATGACTAGGGTAAAAATCACAGGTTTAGAAAAGTTAGGAGTAGAAGGTTTGAATCCCATTTGAGTGATTTAGCTTCTCAAGGATTTTACTCCTTTATAAAATGATACAGCATTACTTCAGTGTTGTAAATGCAAATAGTTAACATGTGTTAAGCTACATAAATATAAGGGTTTGAAAACATGAACTCTGAAGTCCTCAGCCGGGATTCAAATTCTCGCTCCATCACTATGAACCTGTGTGACTCTTGATAATAAGGTGCTTAACTTTTGGATGCCAAGTTTTCCATCTGAAAGTGGGGATCATAATAATCTACTTCATAGGGTTGTGGCGATAAGTAAAACATGAAAATGGCTTAAAACAGTGCCTAACACTGAACAAGCACTCAATAAACATTAATTACTGTTATTGTTGTGTTGTTATTAATAACAGGCATAAACGACTTAGGAGTTGGTTTCTTAAATCAAGAAACAGGTACTTATGTGGAAATTTGGACAGAAAAGCTCTGTCTTAGGGTATCCACTGCCATCCTTCAAAAATGGCAGATAGGTATCAAATTTGCAAGAGTGAAAAGGTGGCCTGTAATAGACCAGCTCGTTAGTAGATCTGATGGAGTGAACATACCTTACCCATTCTACTGCTGCTACTTTTGTGGGAGGTAACTAAAGAGAAAGGAAAAAGTATTGGCTCTTGAAACTGTTACCTCAGAAGAATTTGTACTATAAAGAAGTATTTCTCATCTGCTACAGCAAAAATGAAACATTCCAAGCACATATTTTAGTATATGTGCTGCTGCTATAAATACTGACTATGGGCCAGAGAACCCGATCTAGACCTAGTTCTAATCCTTGTGTGGCCTTAGCCTTCAACATGCAGAGTACAAAGAGGTTCTTGAATGACAGGGTCTCTAAGGCGTTTCCAACTCTGACATTCATATTCAATTACAGATATGTTTCTTTCCTTGGTAATGTACGTAGAAAATTACTAACATTGTACTAAAATACAGTTCAGTAGAACTTCTGTTAGAACAAATCTGCTGAATCATCTATAAGCTTAGAGTACATATAATTATGGTTCAGGAAATATAATTACCCACAATGACTGTGAGCATTCTATCATTCTAAAACCTGTCACTAATCCCAAAAGGAGATGCTATAAAAATAAAAAGCATATGATGCTAAAACTATCTGGGTTTAGATTTGTCTAAAATCTTTAACTTTATTGAACATTTTAATGAAGAAGACATAATTTATTACAGAGGACCAATTTAATTGGAATTGCATGGTATGAATCTAAAACATTGGCTAGTAAAGTCACCTGGTAATTGTAATACTGGTTAGACAAGAATGTTTTAATTAATGCCTTACAAACACTGTGTACCATTTTCATAGTCTTAAGGTAGTGAGCTTTTTAAAGGTAAGAAAGCTATCTTATCAGGGTCTCAAAAGCCTCAACAGCACTAGCAATGTACCTTTGCACAGAGTGGACACTGACCAAAATCTGCTCAATAAACTGGGGAACAAAAAGCATTACAATAAGGTGATAGCTGAAAGAGCTATTCTCTGAAACCTAATTTTTAAACAAATGCCAAAGTACTACAACTTAATATTAAAATTAAGAAATTAATAAAGTTAATTCTAGCCTAATTTATTAACACCAATATTCAGTTTTCCCTCAGATAGTTTTTAATATTACTGACTTTAATGTAGATTAACATGAATTCTTTTTGCTTTTTCCCCTTCACTGATTTGTTTTTCAAAAGACATCATTTTACAACCTCATTTCAAAATGAAGGCTTTTACCTGGACCCTAGGTGTGCTATTCTTCCTACTAGTGGACGTTGGACATTGCAGAGGTGGACAATTCAAAATTAAAAAAATAAACCAGAGAAGATACCCTCGCGCCACAGATGGTAAAGAGGAAGCAAAGAAATGTGCATACACATTCCTGGTACCTGAACAAAGAATAACAGGGCCAATCTGTGTCAACACCAAAGGGCAAGATGCAAGTACCATTAAAGACATGATCACCAGGATGGACCTTGAAAACCTGAAGGATGTGCTCTCCAGGCAGAAGCGGGAGATAGATGTTCTGCAACTGGTGGTGGATGTAGATGGAAACATTGTGAATGAGGTAAAGCTGCTGAGAAAGGAAAGCCGTAACATGAACTCTCGTGTTACTCAACTCTACATGCAACTATTACATGAGATTATCCGTAAGAGGGATAATTCACTTGAACTTTCCCAATTGGAAAACAAAATCCTCAATGTCACCACAGAAATGTTGAAGATGGCAACAAGGTACAGGGAACTAGAGGTGAAATATGCTTCCTTGACAGATCTTGTCAATAACCAATCCGTGATGATCACTTTGTTGGAAGAACAGTGCTTGAGGATATTTTCCCGACAAGACACCCATGTGTCTCCCCCACTTGTCCAGGTGGTGCCACAACATATTCCTAACAGCCATCAGTATACTCCTGGTCTGCTGGGAGGTAACGAGATTCAGAGGGATCCAGGTTATCCCAGAGATTTAATGCCACCACCTGATCTGGCAACTTCTCCCACCAAAAGCCCTTTCAAGATACCACCGGTAACTTTCATCAATGAAGGTGAGTAACCTCTTACTGTAAAACGTGGGAGTATGAGGTTAATATTTTTATGCTTTATCAAACAATGCTCATAATAAATGCTTATTCTTCATTTTGTGATGTTATTATACATGTACATTAAAATTTCTATTTTTGTTTTTTATTAATATAATCAAGAGTTGAACTTAAATACATCTCCTCTTCCAGCTCTGAATTTCTAGAAGGTTATAAAAACTTAGTGTACTCTGTGAAAAAAAACAGTCTTCCATCCAAATTCTTATAATTGAGGGGCTACTATTCTTGAATAAATCCATGTTCCCCTCCGAACCACTCCTGTGCGCCATAACCATCCTATCAGCTTCTAGCTGGGTCGTCGCTGCTACCCAACAATTCTTTTATTTACCTCCTGCTGCTTGTACCATCATCTTCTTCAAAAGAAATACGTAAAATTTTGCTTTCACTCTCTTCAAGCTGTAATCACACCTCATTATCTTCACTCTCAGCAGATGACTCATCTACTACCATACTAAGTCTAATCAGGTCCTGAGTTTTGTTCTTTCTTATCTTGAAAGCATCTGTACAAAAGCCATACCTCTTGCCCTCAGCCTCAAGAAGAAAAGGTATCGCTCCTATTTCCAAGGCTAAACAATTAGTACTGCGTATACTAAGAAACATAAATGTTCATTACTATAAAAAAAACTATTGCATTGATCATGCATGATTCCAAACTCCACTTTTAAATTTCATTTCTTTCGCTCTTCATGCATTCAACATCAGTCACTGATCTAGCTGTCCAGAAAGCAAAGATGAATAATTCATCTTTGTTTCAGTTTACTAAACCCACTGCTAACTTTCTGATATTTATTTTACACTTGTATCCATTTTCTTATAACTCATTCCCCAGAATCCTTTACAAGCTGATTTGCTTCCTAAGAGTGGAAGGGAAAACCCAAATGCCCCAAAGCAATGAGTAAATAAATTGCAGCTCATTCACTCATTGAAAAGGCAGGTCATAAAACACATACTATGAAATAATTTTAAACAGTAACAATAAAAACAAAGAATAAAACTAGAAAGAAATATATCACGAAGTGGTTTCATCTCTATAAGTGAATACCACTTGGCTGTTCACAGCCCTGCTTTCCTGGCCTTCTCCATTTTAATATTCTTCCTTCCTTCCTATTTCTTTAAGTCCTTCACTGGCATCTTCTTCCTTCTATGCCTTAAAGTCTTTCTTCAAGATACTCTACTTTAGAATATTTGGCTTCAAGTATCACCACTGCTCAGATGATTCCTGAATGGAGCTCTCCCTCCTGATTTAACCAAAGCTAGATGTTAGCATTTGGATATTTCACCATTACCTCAAATGCTACTCTTTATTGAAACACCTTCTTTCAGCTTATCTGTCAATTTAGCAGATCTCAAGGCTTAACTCAAATAATACCTTTGATGTTATGACTTCCCAGATTCAAACAAACATACCTAGGTGGCTCTTTCCCCAAATCACTGACTATTTCTTAAACATGTTTTCTATATGATATTACATTGAAGTTAGTTATTGATACGTCTGTCTACTTGTTGGTCTGAATGCTTCTGGAAGATAGTTAACTGTCTTTTCACCACTTGATCTCAACATCTCTGTTTTGGTTAATGTTGTCACCCCTTTCCAAATGAGGTTGGCTCATCTTTGACACTTCCCCAGCTGCCCCATACATAGGCCACTGAATTCTACCCAGGTCTCCTTTTTGGTCTCCTGTGTGCATGTCCCTCATTTCTATTCAGAGCCGGAACTCTCGTTTACATTCAAATGATCCACAGCAGCAGCCAGAAGGCAGAGACTCCATAGGCTACCAGCTGTGTGATCTTCAGGGAAAGAAAATTATCTGTGCCTCAATTTCCTTACCTGTGAAATGGGAATAACAGTATTTACCTCGTAAGATTTAACAATTGAAGAGTGCTTAGAACAGTGCCTGGCACTCAAATGTTAGTTCTTACTATGAACTGTATAATAGCTTGCCAACTGGTGTAACTCTGTTTTCTCTCTCCATCAAAATATATTTACATTGCCAGCAGATCCATCTTCTTAAACTACTTACATATCTGCTTTCTGCAAACAGAAAAAGTCCAATTTGCTTAGTCTGGCTAAGTATAATGTCCTCCTAAAGACTCAAGCCTACTTTCCTAGTGGACCTTCCACTAGTTTCCTTCACAAAAACCATCTGTTCCAATAAAATAAATCCACTCATTTTCCCCTAAATATTTTCCAAGCTTTCGGCCTACTCAAAGAATAAGGCTCAAGCCAAACCAACCATCCATCCATCCAACCAACCAAATAAATAAAATGCAACTCCTCCTTGAGGCCCTTGTTGACTCCCACAGGTTTGAAGTGATTGTTCCTCTCCATGAATACCTCTACTCTCTGTAACACATGTAAGACATTATGTATAGTCCCTCTTGAATTATCAGTTATCTTTACATACACTCAGCATACATCTAACTAAGATGCTTTTCAACTATATTATAAGCTCCTTCCTGGTAGATGGTTACTGTGTCTTATCTCATACTTATCTGCAGTTGCTAAATATGTGTTAGCTGATTTGGTAACATTTTTATAGAGCTTCTTAAAATTGTCATTCCAAAGACCCTCATGAAAGTAATATGTTATATCATACTGGATTTGTTCATTTTATACTGTTCTAAGTTACAGTAGCAATAGGCCAGAGTATCATTAAATTAGGTAAATAATGATCATTATTAATATCCTCGCTGGGCATGGTGGCTCATACCTGTAATCTCAATACTTTGGGAGGCTGAAGCAGATGGGATCACTTGAGGTCAGGAGTTTGAGACCATCCTGGCCAACATGGTGAAACCCTGTCACTACTAAAAATACAAAAATTAGTTTGGCGTGGTGGCGTGTGCCTGTAATCTCAGCTATTCAGGAGGCTGAGGCAGGAGAATCACTTGAACCTGGGGGGCGGAGGTTGTAGTGAGCTGAGATCGTACCACTGCACTCCAGCCTGGGCGACAGAGTGAGACTCAAACAACAACAACAACAAACAAACAAACCTCAACCCCTTTGATTTCCAAAGGAAAATGCGGTGTATTAAGTGATCCACTGGGTACAGAAATGAAAAACAGAAAATTGCTTTTGATAGCCTTTAAAAAATTTTGTTTTATGTAAGCTTTTATATAATTTATCAGTAGTTTGTATATGTAAGTTATAAACAAACATAATTGAGCTGTGTGAATTTTTTTTAACTGATGAGGTATACGATTACGTAAGTATGAAGACAACTGCCAAGGAGTATTCTACGTGATCCCTGAAGCCTGAGTGGATGGCAGAACCAATTCTAGCAGAAATCATTATTCACATTTTTAAACACTGACAAACTTTTCTAAGAAAATGTTTATACAAAATGAAACATACCAATTCTATGTTTTATTATACACTGAGCATTAGTACAAAAAAAACCCACTAATGCTACAGAATTAAACCTCATGTTACGGATTTAGTATGTCAAAAGTCCTCTTAAACACATTTTGTTTTAATGAAAAAATGGTGAACTTATTCCCAATAAACCTTTCTTTAATGCAAAAATTAAGGGCATGTAACTTTTTTCTGTTATTCATTATTTGTTTTATGTAAACATTAACTTTTTACTTATTTTACTCTATAAATGTTGATCTCTTAAATTCAAAGGCATAATTTGCTACACCATAAGAATTACTACACTAATTAGTACATTAATGAACACATAAGGGAAAGAGCATGGAATTAAGAACCACTGGTTCCACCATTACCTTTGTTATGTAACCTTGGGTAAGTCACTGCCAGTTTGTGTTTTCTCATGTGTCCAATGAGAGTGCTGGACTGGATTATTCTAATATCCTTTTCAAATTCTAATATTGTGTGATTCTTACTAAATTAAATTACTACAAGCAACAACAAATAGGCTAGCTATTTTCTTTACATAATGTGCTCAATTATTCACTTATGTTATTTTTACGTCTCTCTGGAAAAAGATGTCTCAGGCTGTTAAGGTGCTTGCACAAAAAGGGTAAAGATGGATGGCTACTGGTGTACTTATGTATGCTCTGGCACCAAGAAATTCCTATTACTGTACTTTACATGTAGGTACGTGGTCATTCTAAAGTCTCTACGTGCATAAGGTGAAAATAAACAACAATGTATATTTTAAGAGGTGTTTAGCCAGTTACAAAAGATAAACACTGTATGATTCTACTTATATGAAGTACTTAGAGTGGTCAAATTCATAGACAGAAAGTAGAATTGTGGTTGCCAGAGGTTATGGGGAGGGTGAATGGGGAGTTGTTTAATGGTTAATAGTTACAGTTTTGCAAGATGAAGAGTTCTGGAGAAGGATGGTGGTGATGGCTGTACAATATAAATGTTCTTAATGCCAATAAACTGTACATTTAAAAATGGTGAAGATGGTAAATTATTATGCATATCACATTTTATAAAAGGTGTTATGACCATCTTTTATTTTCTTTAAAAATGGTTATAAGAAAAATTTACCTCAAAAAAACCCATGAATTTATAAAACATAGTATTTAGATAAAAAAACATTTTTCAAACACATTACCTTCTTCTCTACCTTAAAAACAAAATGTTTGAGAATGTAATAATCAGCCTGACAAGCTGCAATCAATGAAATTCTTGACTGTTAATGTTATTTGGTGCCTGCATTTTGGGTTAGTCTTTTATAAAATAAAACATTACTCTTTTACAAATAGCATATTTATAAAAATAAGTTTATTCTTTGTAGGAGAGCTGAGTGGAGAAAGTTCCTTCACCATGCGTAAAAGCATAGATCTGAATATCAGTAAACTTGGATTCTGGCAAAGCTTTCTGGGGTTCAGTAGCCTCTTTTGTAAATAAATTGTTGTGATGATTAAACGAGGGGGTGCAGGTAGAAGTGTTTTGTGTATGATCTGGCATGGTTTGACCACCGTTAATTATTACATATGTTATACACTTCCCTTTATGTGTCTTT